AAACATGAGCATGTTTCAGATCATGATATTTGTAAGACAAAGACAAAATCAACTCCGTGCAGTGTGACTATTTAAGTTTTACCACTTGAAAACTCAGCACCCTTACATGTTTTGATCCTTACGGATCATCTTCAGAGGGAACATCAATACTTATTTGGAAACCACTATCACAGTAGGTGTTCTGAGTGCTAAATTACATACACACACATACACAATGCCTGGAATACACAATATTCAACTTTTCACAATTGCAGCAGCCTTCCTGGTATTAAAACTTCGTTCTTTAAGTCAAAATTTTTTAACCATGCAGGTTCGTGTCACTTCTCCTATCATCTTTCTTGGAGGGGGCTGAACTTGTGCCACCTGTCTATCTTGTGAAGGAGATTCTTAGTATCGTCCGTGTTTGTTCGTGGCTTGCTGGACGGAGTTATTTTTGTCTTTGTAATTGTTAGTGTGATGGACCAGAATGAAACAAATAAAAAAAAAATAGAGGTTTGTAAGAGTTCTGCAATTATTTTAATGCTTTTCGTGTATTATTAAATGCAATCTTAATCTTGTTAACAAGAGAGTGTATCAGATTCTCGAGTTTCATTATACTACTGAAATTAATAACAAATGAAAACCTCAGTATTATTACTTCCTATACATGATATATAACATTAATGTAACTGAAAAGCTATGTTCTGTGCAGCTTTCAGGTATAAGTTGTAAGCAAAGTTATGAAGTTGAATACAAATATCTCTGATGGAAACAGAATTTTCTTTCAAGTTTACCCACAGTCACCTTTCCTAAACACAAGTATTCTATATATGTTATAGTTCAAATATCCATTGAATTTCAGTAAGGGAGTGTTGTATTGATGTAAATGAAATGTTCTTATTTTACAGGCACTGGTGAGAAACTTTCTCCCGATAAATAATGTTGCAACCTGATATCTTGTACTGCAGAGGTTCTTATTCCGTTGTGTGTTTTCTGTTTTTGAACTGAGTTTGATATCATTTAACTCATTCCCTCCAGATCGTTTTGAGAGAAGTGATATTAAACTCAGTTAGAAAACAGAAAACACACAACAGAGTAAGAACCTCTGCAGTACAAGATATCAGGTTGCAACATTATTTATCGGGAGAAAGTTTCTCATCAGTGCCTGTAAAATAAGAACATTTCATTTACATCAATTATTAATTTTAGCTATATGTGTGAACCAGTGATTTTTTGGGAGGGAGCAGTAAAAAAAATGCTGGTGGTATAATTGCATACTTTCTTACCGACAGGGCAGGTGGTATGATGTCACTATAAGTCTAGGAACACACACAGCGTCATCGGTCCTACTATGTCCGTACGGTTCATGTCGCATCAAGTAGTAGAATATAAAGTGTAGTCTTAGCTTTCATATGTGACGACATGCTACATCTACCGAACGACAGTCGGAGAGCAAAGAAATGTGTAGCGTGTTTGGGTGTGTCACGCTACAAATAAGTTTACGCCGTGGTATTTGATATAGCGAATTTATTCCACTCGCTCACCTTACACACCTTGCAATCATTTGCTCTTTCAGTGTTACAATTACTGCTTACACAATGTCTCGGCCAATACTAGACTGTCTTCTCTGGCGGTTTATAGCAGACTAACTGTGCGAATGCACTCAACCCCGTTTTATAACCTCGGTCGCTGCTATGCAACGAACCCTCTGTTATAACCATGGAGACTCCTATTAGAACTACAATAGAGCAATTGTTGTTTCCTATGCAATGGTCTATTCTAGCGTTTCTATAGAAGTGACTCTTCTGGATTCCAGACACGTTACATTACATTTCCCATCTGAAAGCCCAACCTAACATCTCTACCTGAGCAAGTCCTACCTGAATGAAGAGGCGGATGCACAGTAGTCTAGTGCATAAATCTAACCTAACCTTAGTTGTACCAGATTCATCCAGAATGTGCAAGTAGGTGCGCTGATGGATGTGCAGTGGTCTGGTGTGACAAGCAAACTCAGAACCATCATAACATATAATATAGCAAAGTAACCAAATGACGTGTGATGTAACTGAGAAAATTTTAAACATTTTGAAAATGTGTTAAAATGTAAATATATAATCTCAAACTATGTTCACATTTTTGCAGGCTTGGTTGATGTATGTCAGGTTAGAACCCTATATTAAGTGGTTCTACTTCCTCTCCTACCTTGGAAGTTTGCATGTCCACCATATTATTACTGTCATAAAAAGTTACAAATTATTGGAATATGCTGGTCTTCAGTGGCATAACATCCTTACCAATTTTTGTAAGGATAGGAACAGTGCATCAAAAGGTAACATGGGTGGATACACAGTTGTACAGTGCTTCCATGGTACTTCTGTTGCCTCAATTTCTCTCCCTCTAAGGGACCATTTGGTTCTAATAATTATACAAGAAAGAAAATGGAAGGAGATGAAATTTACAAGCAATAGTCAATCTGGTACTCTTGTCAGGGAGAGTGCCCCACATCGACAAAACCGCAACTGCCTGACAGTAACAAAATTCTGGACTTGGCCCTCAGGTGGGGCTTGACACCAGGACTGGCTGGCCGACTGCCTTTTGGTCATAATGTGACTTTGACTATGAGTGGAGGCCAGTGAATGAGGACCTGGCCTGTTGTTACACACGTAACTGTAGTTACACATAACAATAAACATCACTTAGGTAACAAGAAATAACCTACTTCTTAAATTGTTTACTGCGATGTTGCCAACTGTAACATTATATTTCAGTATTTGAGAGTTGCTTTACCCCGGGGGAAAGCGCACCCGGCGCCTACTGTGTAGGTGGGAGGATGGTCACTATAGAGAAAACGGCCCTTCCATTACCGGGAATCGAACCCCGACTCCTCGGCCTTTTAGTGTATAATCTAGTCGCTATATCGAGCTATCCAAGCTCCCGGCTGTAACCGTTTTTCTTCGGTTCTGCTAGCTCCGGTAGAGCAATCCGACTCCTCTCAGGGCGTGTTGACAGGCCACGACTTGGGTGATTAATAGGGCTTTAGGCGTAGGGAAATCACCACAACGCCAATTAACTGTAAGGAGTCTTTATTTAATTAGCACTAATTAATCATAAACAGCCAGTATTGTTACCCTTCGCAAATTCGTGGAGGTAGGCCTACTTACTGGTCTGGGGACGCACACTTAATAGTTACCACCGGCGTGTTTACGGGGATCCGAACACGTGTACCCCCGGTGAACGTAACTTTCAAAGTCTCTTTGCCAAGCACCCTCTGAATGGTAAATACTTGCCCTGGTTACTCAAAATTCGGGCAAAGGACCCCCCCACTTCAGACGATGATTGGCTGGACCGGGCAGATTGGGAGGTTTCTTATCATTCTCCTCCAATTAGGAAAGCGAATATCCACTAGTGTACAGTTTAGGGGTGAACTTTGCCACCTGCTGCGTGGCTGTCAAACTGAGATTTTGGGTTAGCAGGAAACGACGCTGCTAAATTTATGGCTTCCCCTGTCAAGTTTAGAATTTCTAAAGGACTCGGCCTTGTTACGCATTAAATTGACTGGTTTACGAAAGGGCAGCTGGCTTCATGCTTAACCCAAGCCACGTGCTGCATGTCTCAAGGGGGGGAAATTCCAAATTGTGAGGCGAAAGTGAGGAATTTCACAAAACCCTAACCATACACAAACATCAATTGACCTTCCCATAAACTGGACAGTTACACGGCTAATCCGTGATGCGGTAATGTGTCAACTGAGAAATGAGCATTGGCACTGACACATACAATTATTACAGACCCCTCTTCGCAAGGAAATTTCTTAATTCAGTACTACACTGCCTGGAGGGCTCAAGTCTTGAAAATTACGTCGAAGGGGTTAATATAAATTGTACAAGTCCTGTAAACTGTGTATGGAAAATGAAGAAATCATGTACCGGTTCTCACGGTCTCTTCGCTTGCGGATTTCTTATTTTTCCTTCTACCCTGAAGACGGAGGCGATACGTTCCTCCGAAACGTCGGTTAACACCACATCTGGCATAAATAGAAATTTCTCTCGGGAGACATGTTTGTGGCTTTATTCACTTTACAACATTACGCCACCGCTTCATTAAATGTTAAATGTACGATAAATATATATGTTTATTACATACAGATATTCTACATAGTTCTCTTCCCAAATCTCATTACCACCTTATCAAAATAACGTTCGTAGACTCTTCCATATGGCTGTGAAATTATTTGAAATTTCGCACGGCTTGTTCATTTTTCCAACAAACTTTAACCAATCATACACTTTCTGCAATTAAATGTGATAAGTATAGTTTCTCAAGGTGTCCCACGTGAACCACGTGAATGCAGAGTAGAATGACATTGACCTTGTCCACACGTCAAAATGTTTCGTGACATTACGAAACAGTTGGTGTGACTGTTTATCACTGTTGAGCACTGAAGTATTATCAATCTGTGGCCATCTGTTTGAGAGTATTGAAGTCGTTCAAGTGCTGTCAGCTGTTGTACTTGGTGACGGAGGAGACTGACATAGAAAAAGATGGTATGTATAAGTAACTGTAGTACAGTACGTTGATATTTTGGCGTTTATTGAATAGGCCGACGAAATTATGATAATATGCTAATTGTAAGTAATTTTCTCAGTCGCTGGCAGAGAAAATTGGTGCAATTATGCAGAGGCCTGGGCAGGATGTTGTACCAAAGGACGATGTCCCGTGGTGGATGAAGTATGCTGGTCGCGGATTAGGGACTGTCGGTAGTATGGGTATGTCATCTTGATTATGTTAATCCAACGATAATCTCGTATGGTAGAACCCCAGTATATGTAGTATGTAGCGTAAATTACGCTTGTTGGAATGTGTAGGAGAACAAAGAACACATCTTTATAAACAAAATATAGAAACGTATCTGCTGGTAAATTGGCTGGAATATCTAATTACCTTGCTTGTAATAACAGCATGTGTTCAGAATTTTTAAAATGATCGACACTGTTACTGTAATCACATGAAAATGACTTCCTGTGATGTCCCAGATCAGTTGCTCGTAGCTATACATTTACAGAAACATCCGCAGAACAAACACAATAAGCAGTAATGTTATTATAGGATTTGAGGTTCTCACAGCATTGGTTATGAAGAATACTATCTTCTGGGACATAACACCACGTAGTCCACTGAAAGTATTGTTGAATTTTAATGGACTACATGACATTATATCCCAGAAGATAGTACTCTTCAGTAGTGTTATGGTTTTAACTTGAATGATGGACAAAGTAAAAAATGATTTTAAATGCCACATCTCACCATTGTCAAAAAGCTTTAAACTTACACTGAGACCTACTTGCTTGTATAGTTACATTAAGAATAATTCCTTAGCAGCTGCATGGCAATGCTGAAGGTACATACACTCATAGTATGTTTATTACAAAATTAATACACTAAGTAAGTGACCATAAGCATAAATTCCACATGCTTAGTGCACTATCTGAATGTAAGTATATACATATATAGTGCGACCTGAAACCTGCAGTCTGCCCATCTGCTGTGTGGAGTTTCACTGAGCACATTTCTGTGGAAACATGGAAGGTGCTGCTGCTGGATGGCGAATCATTGGACCACGTTTCCACAGCAACAAATACGACTGAAGAAGCAATTCGTTGCATACAGAGTCACGTCGATTCCTAGGCAATTCATATAGAAATGTTTTCATTCACATGGCAATGAATCTCCAAAACACAGTAACAGTGAAGAACGCTATAACTGTACTGTTAAAGGAGGTGATCTCCATACGATTTGTTCAAAACCTACCTCAGGGAGAGAACTGACCAACAAAAGACAGAAGGTAAACAGAAGTCAGAAGCGAAGTCTTTATTTTATTTTAAGTGTTGTAGTTATGGTAACCTTTATTCAGAAGCACAGTAGACAACTGTAGGTTGCAGTGCAAGGGCCGAGAAGGCCTACCCCACATACATTCATTCATATGGTAACCTTTAAGCGGCCTCCGTAGTCTAGGGGTAACGTTCCCACCTCATGACTCAAGGTACATGGGTTCAAACCCGGCGGAGGTCATGGAATTTTTAAGGGCGGAAAAATTCAGGGAACAAGTCCTCCGGGAGGGACTTTAAGCTGTGGGTCCCGTGTCGTAGCTTTACGGCACATAAAAGAACCTCATGTCTCAAGGAGACCTCTGAGCCAAATTGAAGGAAATTTCCTGCCCAACAGTAGTTTCTAATGCCTCTGGTTGATGGGGGAAGCATCAAGGTACCGCTGAGCCAGTAGAGCTCGAACTCGCTGGCTGAGTTGGGGCTGACGGCACACAGTACCGGTAGGGTATAGAGACTGGTAGAATATCAAAGGGGGACGTACAATAGATCAAACTGGTCGCGGTGCATGGGGAAACCCACCCCCTCCAATAATAATAATAATAATAATAATAATAATAATAATAATAATAATAATAAATAATAATAATAATAATAATAATAATAATAATAATAATAATAATAATAATATGGTAACCTTTAGGGTGTTATCATTGTACATAGTTATGAAGTGTTACAGACCCAGTAAGACTGTGTTACAAGTAATTATAGTTCCACCTGGTGAATATCCAATAAATTGATTCATCTGATCTGGAACCCATTAATTACTTGTCGCGTTACCAGGTTATTTTATTACAAGAGCTTATTGCTATGAAGAAATATGTATACATGTTTGAATCAGTGATGCTGGTATTATGGGGATGGGGATGCTCATTTGTGTATGGGCAATGATGACTAGAAAGTTTCTTCTGTCTTCAGGCAGCAAAATTTAACAGTACATGTTATTAATTTTGCACCTAATTTTTGTTTATATTTCATATCAGTTTTTGAATACCAGTCATCATATGTTTTTTTTTTGTTATTGCTGTAATTACATTATGTGGTGATTGCTATTTAAATGTCTTTTCATTATGAAGGAATTGCGATTCTTGTAAAATGAAATATATAAAGAGGTTGTTGCAGTTGTAGTTATTGGTAGTGGATGTGTGAATGCTTCTGATGTATGTAGAGTTGATGGGTTAGGTGAGATTAGTGTTAAGGAGGTTCATACTATTAAGCTGAGGCCAGTGGCACTGGTGTCGGTCTTTCTGAGTGTGTTGGTTTCCTGTGCCAGTTTTCATTCCATTAACTGCTCAGCAATCATTAGTAATCCGATCGTCCTGTGCTACATAATCTTGATACTGACAGCATCATTAGGAAAGTAAGAACATAAATTATGTTCATGAAGTGTGTTAACATTCAGCAGTTCATTGCTGTGCTAATCTGAATCTGTGTAATGTCAGTGATAAATTTAATGTCTACAAAACATTTTTATACATAAATCGAGATGAACGTTATATATTAAAAAATACTATCATTGCTGAGATTTCTGTCTTTCCATAGCTTCCCATGTATCAGAAGAGTGTGAAGTTCAATGATCTTTTTATGTAGAGAGTATATTGTTTATTGCTGGTCACGGTAGCCGAGCGGTTTAATGCATGTACTGTCTTTGCTCGCTTGGAAACTGGGATCATGGGTTCGAATCTCACTCAGGGCTTGGATGTTTAGTTTGTGTGTGTGCGTTTTTCTGTGTTTGTGTACAGGTAGAGGCCTTGCGATGAGCTGATCACCCGCCCAAGGAGTCTACCAAATGTGTAAGATCTAGAGAAACTGAAGTGAACAGAGAAGTTCATGGAGGTAGGCCTAGGCCCACTGGGGCTGTAGTGCCAAGGAAAAAATATTGTTTATTACAGTTCATTCATTCAGTCTGTGTCCTGATGTCTTTTATATTGAGGCTGATTTGTATAGTGCTATTCTGAGGAGGATGCACAATACATCATGATGGTCCCAATCCTAGGACCAGTCAAGGCCTACCCATTGTACATTCATGCATTCATCGTAGTGTCTTGAGTGAAATACCAAAGCTACAGTAAAGAGCACTGTCATTTGTTGTGCACAATCGTTTGTCATCATCAAGTAATGTTGACACATCAGTAACATTAATTGAGGACATTGACTGTCCTGGCTGAAGTTTTCCTCGGGTTTGTTGAGTCTATTTTGGCAGAGACCAGGATAGGATCTAAATTGGGCCATGACCAGTTCCACATTCTTTCTGATTCATTTGACACTGTATAGTTTAGATATTAACAGTATTATTAAGTACAACAAAAAAAAACATAGTATTGAATATATTATACAAGAACTGCTAGAATTGACCCCCTTCTGCTTTCAAGCATGCGTCACAACAGGTGCACAGTTTTCATGACACATTCGGAAATTCTGAAGTACATAATTCACCATGCATTTAATATCACACAGAGCTACTATTTTTACACTGTGTAATGGCAGTTTTTGAATGGCATGAGAGTTCTCTTTGCCCAGTGTTCAGATGTTTTGCATATAGACATGACTACTGAAGTAGGGCCCCATTGCTTATAAATAGGAGCTGTGGATTGACAGCTTTGCGATATATATTTTGTATCAACCAGTTGGTGAAGTAAATTCTTGGTGCATGACCTAGTTTCTTAAACTCATAAATTGTTAATTTATACGGGCAATATCTAATTAGTTGTGTTAACTGTGAACATGGACCGCAGTGAAACTCCAGCTCCTGATGTCATTTAAACACTTTAAGAATTTGCCATGCCTGAATGTCTTAAACTTTTTCTTCAGTTACCATATTCCTTGTGGTTTGTTTATTTAAGTCAGAAATTGAAGCCATGGCCCCCCACTTTTTTTGGCAGGCTTCAATACACATGACTGTACAGGGTTCTTGTGATGTTTATAAATGAACCTCTGAGAGTACTTTGTGCATGTTTGTGTCTTCTGAATGATTGTCCTATGAAAACTCACTGTTGAATTGTACACTTCATTGCAAGAATAACAAATTAATACTATAGGATAAAAAGATGTAAGCAAGCAGAACCTTCACGTGCTACTGTACCAATTATACTGTGTTGCTGACTGCATGTATCACTCACCATCATATTGGAACTGATCAGAAATATAAGCTGTCTTCATGGTGTTGCAGTATTGCAACGTTGGTCATGTCGGTATACAGAATATACAAACATGGACTGAAGAAAATCCTCATGCCATTAAACAAATGCCATCACATACAGTAGAACTTGGTTATAACGTCATCAAAGGGACCTAAAAATAGTGTCGTTATAAACGAATGTCGTTGTAACCGAAATGGGCACTTCCACAGTAGCCTTATGTTAGTCACGTAAAAATCTACCAAAAACCGAGTTAAAATATTGCATTTTTTAATGAAATACGTAGTTAAGTACAGACTAACGTAACATTAACGTGGAATTGCCCAAATGTGTAATATCAAAGACATATTACAGCGCTTTTCACTGACAATACACACCGCACTAATACTGTATATTAAAGGTAGGCCTACTCACCAAATTACAGTAGATTACATCAATTGTTGTGCCTTACTGTACCTAGATACGAGTACAGTAATCAGTTATCTTCATCTGTTTCCTGTTACTTGCCCAATACACACTTTCTAAATTACGTTCAATGTCCATATCAGAGAAATTCGGGAATGAAAATGACGTTACGTACGAGGTTGATGCATTTGTGCATGTCGTACTAAGCAAGGTATAAAAACAGTTGCTTTATGAGGAATTAGTTCGTACCATTGAATATTTGACGCAATAGACAAGGTGTCGCAGAAACCGATGTTGCTATAACCAAGTTTTACTGTAATTGCAAAAGTAAGGTTATGTTGTAAGTGGGAGACAAATTGGAATGTGTCATGAAACATGTTTACATACCATGAGGCAAGCTTGAAAGCAGGTGGTGACTTTTAGCAGTTCATGTAGACTACGCTAAGTTTTGATGCCTTTCTGCAGTAAGCAGTAATGAAGTTCTGTTTAAATAGAGGGAATCAACAGCAGGAATGGAAACCTCTTGTGGTTTTCTGTCCATGCTATTGTGGGGTTTTTGTTTTGTCGTTACTTCAATGACAACCCACTTCTTTGGAACAGTTTGTAGGTCCTGAAAAGGACCGTTGGTTGCTGCGATGCTTGGCCGGTGAAGTAGTGCGGCGTGCACCGGTAGGAAGGGATGTTGGTTGTGGTGTGTTGAGGTGGCTGAGTCAGTTGACTGGCCGCAGTGCGGCCGTTGCTGGAGGTTGCTTGGTTGCTGGACAAAGGTTCGCTTGCCGAGCGCGGTCGCAGGAATGGAGAGGTAGTTACGCGAGTTTCCCAGTGTGTCGGGAATGACTACCGGCGAATCGAGGCGGCCAAGTTGCCCAGTGAGTCGGGTGTGACCGCCGGACAGCCAGGACAGTCGAGCCTGGCACAGCGAAGTGCCGATGCCTCTGAAGACCGAGTGCTGGTGACGAAGCGTGCTGATTGCTTGTAGACTGATGTGGAACCGACCATAGACTGACTGACTTGTGAGCGTTGTGCTCCGCATTTTATACAATGCATGGCGAAATTTGCTGAGTGCTGATTGGCTAGCGTGCGTAATGATGTGTAATGCGGGCTAGCAGCAAGTGCTGTATAAATGCGGACGTTGGAAGCAAATCGATTGGTTAGCGTGCGTGATGGTGAAAAAGTGAGCACTGTAGAAATAGCGTGATATGTGGGATGTTCCCACACTATAAACTACTGCAGCACTGTTCGAAGCAGCACATTCCTGTCCCATTTAAATGCACTGCATATCCACTTTGTATCTCATATTTGTAATCAACTGCAGAACACTGTACTGTATACACTCTCCGATAATTTGTGAGACCTAATGCTCATTTTCTTGAAAACTTGTGTGAGTTGTGCCAAAACAAAATCTGCCCACATCCTCTTGATTAGATTTGATTTATATAAATTGCAGGTATTTAAAAAAAACTTGATTACATGGCAAATGTAAGATACTAAATAGAAAAGAAATTTTTGAGTTGCTTAGTTCACTCTTAGCTAGTTGAATAAAGTGGCTGGACAAGGACAGGAAACAAAACATGCTTACAAAACGCGGGTTTTGGAACCTCTTTCAAGATGCCACTTGGAGAGCTAGTATGAAAAAGAGAATATAATATGAAAGTGGATAAATGTAGGTTGTGAGTATGTGAAGTAGATTGATCCAGTTTGAATTTGGGTCTGATGGCATATATTGGTGTTAGCAGTAAAGAGTAAAGTTGTCCCTGTGCTTAACAAATTAAGTACTACATCATGAAGACACATTGGGACAGTGGATGTGTAGATCCACATGTTCATGACCTTGGCACCAGTTGGAGGTGAGGTGTCAGCTTGATCTCCTGGCTGCTTTATCCCTGGTGATAGAGCCCCAAGTTCACATTGGATAGGAGTCTGGGTAGGCCCTAGAACTGGTCCAGACAACATGGAATAGAGAACAAATTTTCCTCTAGTGGGACATGAACTCTGACCCCTCGACCATCCAAGTTGTAGCCAGTCACTCTACTGACTGCTCTGACTCTGTTAGCAGTATTAAACCCTAAAATTGTCTTACCAGAATTATTTATGAATATTTTCATGTTTTAGTTCAAAACCAACAAAGGAACCGTTTTATTCTTCATTGTTATTACCACCATGTTTAAGCTGATAACATTATTATTTGTCCTGAAATATTCGTTGCACTCATTATTGCATTATGGAGTTAATACTGTTTTTAATTTTCAGTGGCTATTGTACTAGGAGTGTGGAGTTGTGTTGGTATTGTGTTTGGAGACATCAACTGCCTGATTAGTGGAATGTGGCAAATGTGAGTACTCAGTTTTCTATGCAGTGCGGCAAATAGAAAATAGAATGATCATTTAAAATCTTGGAGGTTTTAGAGGTTATGAAGATTTATATTGTCTTCTGGATTATCACATTGTGGTGCATTGTGGTGGGTGGATACCAACATTCCAGAACACTTTCACTCTGAAGGTAGGAGCCATACATTACTCTGAAACAATAGTACCTGCTTAATGACCTATGTGCTGTCATAACCAAGAACACAGCAATATGAGAGTATTCATTAGTTCCTTAAAAGTTGGTGACATTACAAACTGAAGTTTTGAATTGTGGTGTGTTTAGTGTTTTTGTATGACAGTCATTAACCCCTTGAAAACTTCTTTAGGCACTCTGCCTGCGTTTATATTTAAGTGCAACCTAGTCCTTGCTTTTTCATTGTTACCTTATTACTAGATTTATTTATTTCGCAGTAAACCTTTGTCCAGTGAAGAAGTTAGGTTCTTTCAGAATGGGGCATTGGGTGAATCCACATTATGTTTAGGGGTTAAATGGTGGTATATGGATGCACTTGCATAGAATCTCCCAATAATTCTAAGGAATGCACACGTGCATAAGTGTGCACACACATATACAGACAGATGTACAAAATGAACGATCCTGCCCATACTGCTTTAAGTTATCAGAATCCCCAGAATCTCTAGCTTGAATTGCACACCTGTAGACATGCAGGTATAATGAGACTTAAATGTCTTGATAACTCCTGTGTCCTTAGGTTGCAGGACAGATGTGATGTGAGGCAATAGCAGCATTATTGGGATGACTGAATTGCAGTGTTTCCGTACTGTGACGGGTGCAGATGGCTTATATTCAAATTTTCTATTCAATAGATGGTTGTTTACTTTTGTTTTTGCAGGAATAACTAAATCTACTTAGATAGTTATGCCTTAGACAAGGTTTTGCTGTGTATTGGTAAATAGAATTCAATTTTTGGTCACAGAAAAGCCATAGAAGAGATTAAGATTACCACCTGCTGGGGCAAGAAATAATACTAAAATATTCTATGTGAAAACCTCATGATATTTCAGAGAAGTGCTACAGCTTTTTGGGTAGAGTAGCTTGCCATGGCTTTGTGAGGATGTTACTCGACAGTGGATTAAATTACCACACTTTTACTGATGTAAATGTGGCTGCTACCACTTCAAACTATAGTGTATATGGGAAGGTTGAAAAAGATATAACATTTTGTATTCTATTATGTTAATTGTAAGTTCAAGAGATCCAAAGATGGATATAGAACATGTCATAAAATAATATAGAGCATAGAATACATACATAGTTATTACACACCTAGACAGTACAATGAATTCAACAGTAAAATAAAGTAAAGCCATCCCTGTAACAGGCCATGAAGGTCCATAGGGTTGTGAGACGTTGAGGGTCTCACATTTTCTAGACAATCGGCTCAAAGAGGCGGTAAGGTTTTCAGCCTTATTCGCCGGTCGCGCTTTACTCCCCAGGAAAATTATTTAATTAATTCCTGGTACTCATTTTTGTTAGAGGCTGAGCCAACCAGAGGGCCATAGAGTGGCTGGAAGGATTTGGTCAATTGAAAAAAATGCAATGACCTCATCTGGGCTTGAACCATGACCTTTTGGCTTGTAGCATAGCCCCTCAACCAACTGTGCTACTGTTCTTTTTTAATTATATGTTTATATATGAAGGGACACCAATGTGGAGGTATTAGATTAGTATTACTATTGATCACTGGAAAAGAGGCTGATTTTTGGATTGGAATGAGCTCCTCTGTAGGCTTTCCTGTTAAGATCTAGTCTGCATCCAAAAGCTTTCAGTATTCTGCTGATTGTGCAGTAGAAACTGCAGTTCTTTATTGATTTGTTGTAAGTGTATTGTTGCTATGTATGAGGTTAACTATAAAATAAAAGTGCAGTTCTTTTTCTGGTCTTCTGGGTTATGACACCATGTAGTTCAAGTGGGTGGGTACGAAAATGTCAGAGAAAAGTTCTGCTTCCATCTTTAGGACACTGTGTTGTCTGGTAGATGGACACGAATATTTCAGGGCTAGATGCTGTCTCCATCTTTAGGGTATACAGGGTAGAAGTGATTTTATTCTGATGATAAGCATTATGTTCTTTCAAAACATTTGTATTCACCTATCAGGCTATGTGATAATATAATCCAAAAGACCACAGCGAGAATTCTCACTGCCATATAAATCTCAAACTGTGTAAGTAAAGATGAAGTTTCCATATTCCTGTGCACCATGATTACAAGGCACTTACATGGAATGGAGCTAAATCTACACAAATGTCTAGTGTTAGCACTAGATGGAGGTGAGTGTCAGCTCCATGCTTTGACCATTGTAACCCCGCGGAAAGAGATATGACAAAGGGAAATAACACACCTCCTGCCAGAAGTTGAACCCTGGTCAACCAGCTTGTAGTCAGTCACTGTACTGAATTGACTGTCCTGACTGTTCATGAGGTTAAGTACTCTGTTTGTATGAAATTATTACAATTTGGACTGTGAAGTAATCAGCCAATTTCATTTACAGGTTTCTCATCCTCATGTTTGTCATCCTACAACAAATAGTGGTGTTGTATATTTGCTGAATACCCACTGCTTGGTACTGTAATCACTGTCATTCACAGTTGACTGAAGGAGATTGCAAACCAAGTCTCTATATTTACAGGATAGCAGGTGCAGTTGTGATTATGATAGAAGCTCCATGCTGCTGCCTTTTTATAGATTTTGTGCAGAACATTAGTGATTGGGTAGAGAAACGACCTTATTGGAATAGAGCAGCTTTCTACTGTATGTAAGTATAAGTATTTTATCTTAATTTAATTAATTTAATTAATATTCTATTGAAGCATTACATGCTAATTCATGTCTTAAAAAGACAGCTCCTGAAAATTGAATTTTAAAATATGCTCGTACCCACTAATTCTGTTTTTTCCTCCCCCCCTCCATCCTCATCATCGGTTACCACCACCACAGCCATCACCACTCTCATCATCATGGTATTTGGGGTTAGTAAGCATAAGCATATTGTAAGACATGAATTTGACTTATTACTAATTCCTATTTGAAGCCTCAGAAAGAAGTTTGAAGGTTCATGAGGATGATGTGCTTGAGTCTGGTGAATGTATCATGTGGTGATCACTGGCAATATTCATGCAAACAGAATGGCTAGATAACTGGAGGAAAATACAAGGAAGTATTGTGATGGAATGATCCATTGCTAGACAACGGCTCTGTAAGCACCACCTGAGAGCAGGAATAGTGGAGCCAGAATGGGCGTCCATTGCTGAGCAGTGGCTCGGGACACATTCCCACTACAACAAATAGCAATGAATGGTCTTTTCTAGATAGCAAGTTGCTAAACACAGATTCACGTGACAACAGACAGGAGGAGAAAAACTGTTCAGTGTGGTGACTTATATTCCAACTTCCTGGAAGTTATAGGAGCGTCACGAGTCATTCATAGAGAATTCAGAGTGAATTTTTGAGTGGTTTATCATATGTCATTTGTCACAATGGAAGAGAAGACACTCATGGTCCAATAAAGAATGGAGCGAGTCTTAGACAGTCATTGATTGTGAGCTGTCATAGTTGATTATAATTGTAAAGAAGTGCCAGCAAACCCTATCATCAAACCCAGAACCCATTATTATAAGTCATGCAACACTTTATATGTGTCAGTATGTTGGAAGGAGAAGAGCTTGAGAGAAGTGGGGAGGGCATTGCTCTATGGGACTGCTTCTCTTGGCCTCGGTATAAATAGCAAGACAGACTGGTTCTTATCGCTATTATGAGCAGTGTGAGACTGATCTGTGGAGGTCTACTGCATGTTGGGGCCACGTGTTTTATATTACACAAAAGGTTCGATGCATAGTTCTTTAAGATACAGAGTAATTTTCTATACTTCCTGATTTTTTCTCTTTATGTGATGCCTGTTAGTGTCTTGTTACTGTCAGAAATATGCAGTACTGTTTATTATAATGAGTTCATAAAATGTGACTAACACTGCGATAATAGAATCCACAGGTCAGAACCACCAAAAATGAAGTTCACTGGAGTTCAGTGCCACTGTACCAAATTTCCATGGAGTTCAGTGGAATTTCAGTAGTGCTAATACCAAAAGTTGCTGTTGATGATTGCCATTTTCATTTATTTATAATATATTATTAAATTTATGATTTGAAACTTTTGGACTTTTACAGTCTAGAACAATACCATTTACCCACATACAATGGGCTCTTTGTAATTCAGTACACAGCATTTTCAAAGACATCCTTTACTTTGATCCTTTTAAATTGCATGTTAAAAAGACTTCAACTTCTTAAGGCAGAATGAAGATGATGTATGTTGCTTACTATGTAGTCCTAGATCATAAGCAAATATGGGAGCAACTAATTTTATTCAAAGAAAACAGCTCATAGTATGAAGGACAAATAAAAGTAAAGTAAAGCTATCCCTGTAACATGCCATGGAGGCCCATAGGGTTGTGAGATGTTGAGGTTCCCACATTTTCTAGACAGTCAGCTCATAGATGGCAGTAAGGTTGTCAGCCTTATGCGCCGGCCGCCCTTTACCCCCAAGAACATTCAAAGAATATTCCTGGTACTCATTTCTGTTAGAGGCTGAGTCGACCCGAGGGCCATAGTGAGGCTGGAAGGATTAGGTAAATTGAAAAAAAAATCCAATGACCTCATCAGGATTTGATCCTGCGACCTTCCAGCTTGTAGCATAGTGCCTCAAAATAAAACTGTTCCGTTATTTCAGAAATGTTAATGATACAGTGTGTTGCTTGTATCTGGGCACTTCTGACATTTTTTTTTGCCTCAAAATGTCAGTTAGAGAATATTTAATGAGATCAATATGAATACTGTACATACTAAATTTTGTCTTCTCTCTCAGGAGTGGTTCATAATACAAACCACTGTATGATATAAGGTACTGGTTTTGTAGTTATCTATAGCTTTTTTTATTCTTTATTTGGTTTTTATATAGAAGTCCATCTTCCAGTAAAGTACCAGTTTTAGTTTCACAGTAATGCACAAAGTAAAAATTGCTTCCAACCCTGGTAAGGATCTCTCATACAGTTTGATCGCTATTCAGTGGTTTAACCGTTCAGAATTTTTTGGCACATTGGATTGATTTGTCACCATTGTTGATGTATTTTTATTTCCCATTTTGAAACCTGTCTGCTTATAATGCTGTGACTGGTTTTATTGTCACTGATTAAAATCAGTTTTGCTGGTTAGATGGTGCTACTACCTTTCAGGATGAATGAAACCAACTTGTGAACACTTGATGTCCACCAGAAAATGAAACCTCAGAAAAGGATTTTGATTAAATATTTTATTTTTTAAATTTAATACTTGAACTAGGACTAAACCTTCCCATTCTTATGAGTTTTGATTATTATTGCCTTACCTGATGCGATAAATAGTTAATGGTTTCTTTTGAATCTATTTTCTGTTATGAATTATGTTAGGCAGGGAAGTATGTATGGCAGTGTAAAGGGAATGTGATTTGCAGCTGTGCTGAGTTTATTCCTGTATTATAGGCAGTGGAACAAATTTCTGAGTAATTATAAATACTAATACTGAAAAAATTAGATTCTGTCATTAGCATTGAGAATAATTTCATAACATTCTTGTGGGTGCCCAACAAGAAAATCATGACATTATACAATACAGTAATGATCCCTCTAAGGTGCTATTTCAGATGTCACTTTGGAAATATCAGATTATGAAGGTGCAGATACTTTGTGTGGTCCTGTACCATGGAATGTGTTGGACATTGATCTGAATATTGAATACAAAAGCTCAGATAATGACAGTCAAAGTGATACAGGTGTAGAACATTCCCAGTCAAATAAGGTGAAAAACAGCCATCACAGAGAAGACACACTACAGTGAGCCCCATGATTTGGAGAAAGAAAAAATGGCCCAGTAGACACTAGTTGGGGGGGGGGGAACTTTTCTGAATCTTTTGTCACAGAACTAAAACCAATGCAGCATTTCAGAATGTATTTTGATCAGAATATTTTTGAAAATACTCTATGTCAGACAGACTTTTACTCTGAAAATAATATCACTGAAATCAGATGATTTTTTGATGTCTATGCCCTAAGTGGATTTATGCAAATGCCATTATATAGAATGCTATGGAACAAAACATTTAACTATCCGCTTGTTTCTAGTGTTATGTCAAGGAATCGGTATGATAAGCTCAAAAATTCCTTCCATATAAATAAGAGCAACATATTAAACAGCATGCTGAAAATAGAAACTGGAGAGTGTAGTACAGTTGATAAACTCATTATATCTTTCAAAGGCCACTCAACCCTGAAACAATATAAAAAAATAAACATAATAGAGTATTAAAACATATTTTAGAGCAGAGGATGGTGGCATTATTTATGACCTTGAGACATTCACATTTTCAGGGTGCTCTTTGAGCTGAAAGTTTGCTCTAAAGAAACAGTTTTAGGCATTTTTCGTTATAGGATAGATATAGAAATACATATATATTTTTTAAGTGGTTTGACAGCTGTGTACATCTGATGCCATTTTACTCTGGAAGTCAGTCATCTGAGGTCATGAAGTGGTAGTGTGTGTCTATCCCACAAACACATACTGTGAAAAACTACATTTCAGGTGTGGGTGGGGTTGATTTCCACAACATGTTTGTAGGATTATACAGTTATGACAAAAGATCAGAAAACACTAACCAAGAACTGTGTTCCACTAGCTCTCTATGTGCATTGTGAGTGCATGGCTGCTGTACCACAGACATATCAACAAGGGGGGAGGGGCAACATTTGCTAAACTTCAGAGTGAGGACTGTTAAAGGTTTACTTTTGGATTGTAAATTATGCACAAGAGAGAAATTGAGACTGTCTAGTGAGGAGTCAAACTGCCGCTGTCAGATTCTGTCCACCGAATTGCACATGTGCAATACAACAGTGTATGACACCAATATGAGCATATAGCTTTAAGAGGAAGGTACAAGTACTGAATAAAAGCTCAATGCAGGGAGAAGTGTTCTAAATGAAATGTGCCACAGTGTTTCAGTGGGAACAAGAGTTGCTTTCAATCTTTTCATGGAGTGCGGTAATTTATTATTTGTATGCTTTCAGTGATCTTGTACGTTGTATTATAGAAACACACCAAGGTGGATTATAATGAACCATGGCTGTGTAGTGACACAGGTGTGTGAATAATTAAACATACTGTAACTTACTTATTGCACAGATTTTATAAGGATTTTTGATGTGTGTTAAAACGTTTATGGTGTATTAAGAATATGATTTTTATGTATTTCATTATTATTATTATAGTAAACCCATTTTTAAATGTGTGTTCACTTTGTTTTGGTATATATGCAATACAATTATTGAGCAATTTCCGAATTTTTACTTATGTAACCTAATTTTCCCAGTGGTGTCAATTGAAACCATATCAGAACTGACCCTACCCAACATATCAGTTGCCCCTGATTTTTCCTTTAATTTTCCCATAATAGTTACTTGCTGTACAGTAGTGCTGTATTTTTCTACTTTTAAATATTGTTAAAATATTTTAGGCTGAAGGAAGTTAAAGACAAGAGAAACAGGTGGGAGCAGTGTGCTTATTAGACATTTTTTTGTCAAATCTGTTAAGAATGCCTAAAATTTTGTGTCTGTATGAGAATTGCTCAATGAAATACATTAATATTTTATTGACAAAATTTTTAGTATCTGTTTTTTTGTATTCTTTCAGTATTGCTTTACCATCCGTATTCCTTTGCCGAGAGCTTCAGAGCATATTTGGAAGTGGCTTGATCTTCACTACAGGTGTGATCTATGGATTGATGTCTCTTGGCAGAAAGTAAGCATTTTTCATTGTTTCTTCTCTAGATGCTGGAAATACTATTTTACATTTACTGATGTTATGCTCTCACTCTTTGTGTATTGATGGATATCTGCGTATGTATTCTGTCATCATTCTGTTATAGTAGTTACAAAGAGATCAGAAGAGTGATGGCAGTAAACAGCATTGATAAATACTTATTTTTTTGGTTGGTATTTCAGTCTTGTTCTTTGCAAAAAAAGTTACCTCTACACAGCAGCACTAACAAATTATCAAGCTATCTTTCCAGAAATTTTCATGCTCACAATGTACATATTCAGTGAAATTGTGTTTTCAGAGGCTCTAATATATAGTAGTGGATCAATGGAAAGATTATCTATGGGAAACATAGCCAGAAATGGGAAATAATAAGTTCTCTTGTTGAAATTTTAACAAGCTTTGTTAACTGTGCTTTATTCTGTATTATAATCTTGACCTTTGCTCATAAATGTTACCTCTGGGTACCACATTGTGTAGTCTATGAAACTGTGTTTCCAGAATTTTTCAAGTTTACAATGGGCATATTCAAGGAAATTGTGATTTTAAAGTATCTCTTTAATGGCAGTGAGTGTTAACTTTAAGGTTCTCTGGAATATCCTTTGGTAGATAGGTATCGGTACTGCTACCACCATCTTCAGGCCACGGGAGGGGAAGAGAGAAGCAGGTTTTTCTGTAGCATTGGTATATATCAACCAAACTACATAGTTACTGGGATGTAACATTGTGTAGTCCATTAAAAGTCAAGTGATGGTTTGGAGGAACAAGCAAGAAATCAGCATGAAGCAGGTAGTATCTGCTTATTCTTTGACCCTGAAGATGGAGGCAACACATTCCTTTGAAACACTGGCTGACTCTCACTGGACTAAATGGCATGATATCCTAGTAGACAGAACTCTTCAGAATGATAAAAAGTTTGCCAATTGCATGTTGACTACATTATACTGATGTGAGTAGAATTACTATGGCTCCAAAATAGTTTTACATAACTTACTGACAACTTTTTGACTCATGGTTGTACTCCAGGGTCACTCATCCTCAAATTAACATACAGACTTTTTAACATCTTATTTTATATTTTTGAATTATGCTGTATTTCCTTACTTGCTTACCCTGTGGCTTGAGATGGTTTTAAGAAGGCTGAGAACAGATGGTGTTGTTTTGCATTTGTAAACGTTTTCAGCTTGAAGTCTTTCTACTTTTAACTATTTCAATGATTGATAACAGGATGTAATCTAATGTGCTTTGACTATACTCAACATACTGCTTTCTAGCCTACTTTCTTTATTTTGAAAAAATAAAAGTAGGTTAATTACATCATTGAGATGTCTGCATATCTGTGTATCCCCCCTATCAAGTTTTGAATGCCTGAAACAATCTTTATGAAACCTGATATGCATATTATGGCACCTGAGCCCAGCTCAGTGGCACACTTCACAAATTCCTCCCATCAATCTCTCTGTATTCTCCCCTATAGTTGCTAGGAAACAGCTCATTAGACATATTCCCATGGCAGTGAATACATACAACAATAGAAGAATTGTTGGAGGTGTCATTTTCTGTACAGTCCATGCCATATCAAAGGAAAGTCTGAGGGTCTGTCTATTTATCCCCTGATTGTTGCTAGACAATGGAAACGAATTGTTGGAGGCATCATTCTCTGTGTGGTCTGTGTTGTATGAAAGAAAAATAGGTGATTAGTTCTTACCATAACCTCATGTTAATACAATTAATACATATTTATGTGGCACCCGAGAAGGGTTTCAGATATAAGGGTCCATAAAGGTATATAAAAAACTGAATTTTAATCTAAGAACTTGACTTCGGTTATATGTGATTATACTCCCACTTTATTAAAAATTTACTTTGATTTTTTTTGATGTTTTGTGTGTGTAATGAGTTATTAGCGTGATCAAATCAAGGGGGGACGAAATGTTTTGAGGGGGCTTTTAGCATGAATGTGGGAGATGGAAAATATGTACAGAATTTTAGATGGAAAACCTAAGTGGAGGAGAGTGCATGGTGAACCTGCATGTGAGAAGGATAATTTTAAAATGCATCTCAAAGAAACAGGATGCATATGTGTGAACAGATTGCATCTGGTCAGGATATGGACTCCAGCAGGCTCTTGTGAACACAATATTGAAATTTTGGGTTCCATAGAAAGTGAGAAATTCTTGACCACTTGAGCAAATGTTTTATCACCTCAAGGTCTCTGCTCCAACAAGTTAATTATGTGTATAATAAGCATTAAACATGTATAATGTTTGCTATATTTTATTTTATAAATAAATCTTTGTACACAGCCACTATGCCTATAGTGCAAGAACTATGAATAATATCTTATTGGAAGCCCTTTATGCTATTAATGCTCTTCAAGCAATTTATGATTTTCTTTCACTTTTTTATGGTGTATAAAATTATGTTACCCCCCTCCACATTTTTCCGTTCTCTCTGGTATACAGTGGCTTGTTTATCTGCGGGTTTAGGTTATGGTCTAAGTGCAGTGTTTTGTTTCTTGTGGTGCATGATAGTGTACTGGTGTCTGGGAGAAACTTTCAGTTGAATCACATGTATATATCCCTGCAGAGGGTCACGACAAGACATGGCATCCATGGCATCACCACCAGCCTCCACACCCCAGGCTGATCATAACACTACACTCATGGAGGATCCCGATGTGTGGCGTCCAACCTAGACCCATTAACATACCCACTTGAGGCAAATACTAACTCTGCTAACATATTGTTATGCATGCAGACTTCATTTGATCATGAGGTTCTGTTATGTGTGTTTTATATTGCAGTTCCTTCGATTTATTATGATTTTGCCTACCTGCATGTTAGAGGAAGTAATAAATCTTGTTTATAGGATTTGAAGCTTTTGCACCTGCTGTGTACTATGAAGTCTTTCTGGGTAGCAGCTGTGTGGAAGTGCAGTTGTTATCTATTGTTTTTGTAACCTCCATTATCAGGCTTTGATGTTACGAGTGATACAGTTGCCCACTGTGTTTATATGCACATAGATGCTCTTGGAGCCTGGTATCTTGCCCAAGTGTTGACTGCTATGGGATCAATGACCACTCTGTGCTTTTTTAGTGGCCAGCACTTACAGAGGACCGAGCTCCAATAGCAACTACTTGTGTATAAATATAATGGGCAGCTGCATATCTTATTACATGAAACCCTGATGATGGAAGCAGGGACAGCCTCTGAAACATTGGATGCCAACTCATTTTTGCAAAGTTATTGCTCCCAATGAATGTCACTGCAAGAAACATGTTTGTAGTGACAGATTTAGAAACTGGTTAAGTGTAGGACTCTGTGACAACTGCATGAGAATGGTTTTTAAATTGTTCAGAAATATTATGCAGTTTGTTTAAGGAAGCATATGCATGTTTAACATATTTTCATTAATACATAATATCTTTACTGTAAACTTTAAGCTGTGTTTTTGAACTTTTATGTTGTGCATGGCTGATGAGAATGGCCTAGTGAGAAGTTTGATTTATGCCCTTGTAAAAGTTGAAGCATGTAGTGGCTGTTTTCCAGACAGACAGGTGCCATTATAGATAATCGTTTTGGTTGATATATATTGTAAATTTATTTGGTCAATGACAACATGTTCGTGCCCATTTAATTATTTTTACTGATGTCAAGAACATAGTTTTTTATTCTTGGGGTGGGATGTGACAGAGCCCCATGGTACTGTGGCTGCAGTTGGGACTTGTGAACCAGTCCTGGATGATGGTTGAGATTATGGAACACGGTGTAATGATAATTGGCGAGGGGAAGTCAAAGTACTTGAAGAAAACCTGCTCCAGTGTCTCTTTGTTCTCCACAAATCCCACCTGTACTGTCCAGGCATTGAACCAATACCTCCATATGAGATGCTAGTGACCAGCTGCCCGAGCTATGGCATGACTAAGAACACAGCATAGAAGAGATATATCTCATGGGAAGCTTAATTTTGTAATTAATTTACTTTACTTGAACTTACCATAAATTTTTTGACATACAAAAGAAAACGGTGAAATACGACATGTTCTGTTGATTATGTCTAACGTTGATAGTGATTCAGTTAATGAAACTAATTGTTTTGCTTATTTTACTTCCACAGTAACTGATGTTATAATTGGTATTAGGACTTAGGCAGTGATGGGAAGATATAGTAAATGTTGAAGAAAGAGGGTCTGGATTTCTGGATAGAGACTAGGGGCTGGCTTTTGTGAACATAATAATGAAATTACGGGTACCATAAAAGGCAGGCAGTGTTTTTAATAGGAGCAAAATTATCAGCTTCTGTTGGAGAAGATCTCTGTCCCATAGATTAGTTAGTTGATTAGTTTGTTGGATAATTGGTTAGTTGTTTATTTAGATGGTTGGTTAGTTGTTGGTGAAAGAATTACAAATGACATGCTGCATTAGCTCTGTAAAACTCATGAACTGCATAATTTAATGTTGTATTAAATAAAAGTATATGAAGAAGACTAATGACAGGCAGTTTTATTGTATTACATACACTTATCTAGTCAGATTTGTATAACATTCCCATTTATAATTAGTGTTTCACATAAAATTATGTTTATTGAGAACAATATAGTTCATCCAGTTCCATCATCTACCACAATACAGAGTTTTAGTTACTTTTTAGTGCTTGTTGATAAGTGTTTTAGCATTGTAGTGTTTTCCCTACCTCCTAATTTATTATTGTCAGGTTGGTTTTCAATCTAATGTCTTTATCTGTTTAGGGCTTTAAGGCAGCTTATATTTTCATCCTATGTATTCATTTCCAGTTACTCTGCATTTTTATGTTAGTTTTTGACATTGAATGCTACATGCTGCATTTCTTGAAAGAAATAGGTGCATTTGTTTTAAGCTTTTTTTGTATATATGTATGTACGAGCATGTTATAGAGCACTGAAGTGAATTTAAAAGTAAGTGTTGATGGGTGATGTAAGATTTATCTCATTTGTTTATGTAGATATTTTCTTGGGGTGAACCGGCACTGGCCGGCAACACCTACAGTGTCAATTGACTTATCACATTTACTAAATACTCGTAATATGTTGAATAGATTGTAAATATACAGGAAATTAAAAAAAAAAAAAAAAGATATTTTCTTGCAGCTGAGAAATGGTTAAAATTCAAGAAACATGTTTTACATATGTGACTTTCGCATTTCAGATTTTGTTGACAGTAATGTGAGCCAGATTTAATGGCCAGTGTAAGATGAATATTTCTGGAACCAGGAAGTTCAGTAATTGGCATCATTATTTTTTTTAATTGCTAGTGGGGTGGGACTAAGTCCCTTGCACTGCGGCCACTTCTAGCGTATTGTACCAGCCCCAGATTATAGGTGAGGGTGATTGTGGAGCAATTGGTTGAATGAAGATTGGCAGGGGAAACCGAAGTACTCAGAGAAAACCTGCCCCAGCGCCACTTTGTCCACCATAAATCCCACTTGACCAGACCCGGGATCGAACCCGGGCCGCCGCAGTGGGAATAATTGGCATTAACTATTTTTGTTACTACAGTCAGAATTTGCAAGTAATTTTAGACAAACATAAATCTTGAAGACAAGCATTGCAGTCAAATTGACGGGATTGTGAAAGATGCTGCAAAATGAGAATTATATGTGGCTTTCATTCTTTTGCAAATGGGGATACACTGCTTCAGTATCTTCATATTCAAAAGGAAACTTACTTTAAAATGGTTATTTGATTTATTATGCATTCAGCATTTCTGACTTCTCCTTAGACTCAGAAGACTGAGCTATAAATACGGGACTACACATATGTTTCTAGGTCTACTTTCATACTTCTTCCAACTGTTGAAATTTGAACATGAGGGCGCAGTCATGTCTGGTGATCATATTATTTTATACAGTATGTGACACAATCTGTGTTCTTCCTTGTTTGGTGGTCTTTAAGTGTAAGTAAAAATAAAAGTATCCCTTTAACAGGCTGTGGAACCCCATAGGTTTGTGAGATGTTGAGGTTCCCACATTTTCTAGACAGTCGGCTCATAGATGGTGGTAAAGTTGTCAGCCTTACATGCTGGCTGCCCTTTACCCCCAGGAAAATTACTGGTACTCATTTCTGTTAGAGGCTGAGTCGACCCCAGGGTCATAGTGCGGCTGGAAGGATTAGGTCAATTGAAAAAATCCACCTCATTGGCATTCGATCCTGTAGCATAGTAGTTACTATAGGATTCTGACGATGGTGTATAACACACTGATATATTGGGTTTTTGGACTTTATCCATCGTCCTGGTTTTTATTAGTTATCTTAAAAACCAGGACGATGGATAAAGTCCGAAAACCCAATATATCAGTCTGTAGCATAGTGCCTCAACCAACTACGCTACTTTAAGCGTACAAATTATAATGATGTGAAGAATGTCTTGGTACTTATCTGAATAAAAGCTTAAAAAAAATATATTTCAGAAAAATTGAAGTGAAATAATTTTTTTAAGCATGTTTCTCTGTAGCTGTAGTTTAAGAGCTGATTTATGTCTCATCTCCAAGAGCACTGAACTTTCATGTACTTCTTAAGAATCAAATTAATCCTCTCTCTGTCTAGGGCATCGCAGCAGGAGATGATGAGTAATGCTGACAGGGAGACAGATGCTACAGTATCAGCCCCATCATCTGGAATGCATTCTATTCTTGTTGATAATGCAGCACCAATGTCATTCACTGGCACCCCAAACACAGTGCTTGGCAGTGGTGTCTGACAGCTTATGTGTCGAGAGCCAAGGCTCTTGTTTATTTATTGCTTTTGGTAAGTGATGACAGTGAAGTCTTGTTATTTACTTCTTTATGTGGGTGTCTGTTACCTTACTTTCGTAACAAAGAACAGTGATACAAAATTAATGGCTCTGGTGAGGTGGAAATGCAAAAGAAGAATTTTACAAAGACATATCGCTATTCTCTGTTTAAAAAAAATGGATTATTACGTACTGGCAGAGGGCCTAAAGTTGTTTATGCTAAGTTATTACACTAATAACGTTAATGACCTGAATGAGAATTCTCTACTGAGAACATCTGTTGTTTGTAGAATTCATTTAGCTTGGATGGTACATGGTTCTCTTGTAACTGTATATGTATGCGTGTGTGTATGTGTATTTTTACGAAAGCATAAATTCATCAGAACTCAAGTTTTTGTTTAAACNCAGTGGATTTTAACATGGGAACTGGAACAGTCTCACTGAATTACACACTCCGGATATGACACATGAAGTCTTGTAAGATTTGAGGCTTTCACAGCGGTGACTATGAAGAAAGCAGTCTGTGTATATGTGGTGTTAACCGACGTTTTGGAGGAATGTATCGCCTCCATCTTCAGGAAATATAAGAAATCTGCAAGTGAAGAGACCGTGAGAACCGGTAACCTGTTCTCACAGTCTCTTCGCTTGCAGATTTCTTATATTTTTTCTTCTACCCTGAAGATGGAGGCGATACGTTCCTCCGAAACGTCGGTTAACACCACATATACATGGTGCCAAATCCCAGAAGACTGCTTTCTTCACATAAAGTCTTCTCTTCACAGCAGGACTTTCAACTGAGCACTCTTGGAACTAACTAGTTGTCCCAAACTGTCCAGGTTATAATATCTTGGCATGGACCATTCAGAGAACACCATTCTCTTGCTGTACCATTGCTGCATTTGTGTCTGTTGGGGTTCCTACATGATTGCTACTCAGCCAGTCCATTGGTGCACTGGTGGCTGCTATCAGCGGCTGTTTGACTCATTCGTTTCGTGGCCATTGCCTAGAAATGAATGTTGTTTCAGAGCCATTGACTATCAATGGCTGCTTCTCTGGCTCCACAGCTTTTGCTTTGAGCAAAAATGCCACAATATGTTGACAGCCTTATCTGCTTCATGCTGTAAGAGAGATGTAATTCTAATGATTGACTAGATAGGACTGTCCAACTTCAGAGAACTGAATAGCTGCAATTTACCTTCGGTACCTGCCTGCAGAACATAGTATAAAAATATGTTTCTCATATCAGTATAAATATCTGCCCTGCAGTGATTACATCCATGAAACACAAAATCCATGAATAATAACTGGACCCATAAAGTTCAGAAACATTTATTTGAATTAAATGTTAGATTGATGGTGCATAAAATTCAGTTGCTAGATGTTGGGTAGATTGTTTTGGTGTTACAGATGATGTTAAGAGTCATTCTAATTCCATGCTTTTCCAAGTTGTATATTGGGTGTTGTGTGAAATCAGTGGAAGCGCTACAAGGAACATCAGTAAGCACTCTTTGTTAAGTTTTTCTGAAAAGATTTGCCGCCATTTTAAAAAGGAGCAGCAAGATACTCCCAGTGGCTACATAAAACCAGCTGGTGGGCTACATGTGACTTGTATCCAACCAACTGGACATCCCTGGCCAAATTTGTGGTGCTGGTGATAGTGGTGATTGATTCATTGTATCAATATTGTGTTGGGCATTATCAGTTGTCTGAGGTATTGTGGCCATTTACTGACTCTTGCACTGAAGTTGCAATCACTAGGTCATCAGGAGCTATGAGATTCTATTAAGCGTGACACAAGCATGATGATCTGTGGGGTGAGGATATAGGGTCTGAAAAATGTAGGTGTAATGGATATCATAAGGTAGTCACTGTCTAATTCACTACAATTGCTCTGGAATCTTCTGTTCCATTAATCACCCTGAATAGTCACTGTTTTATGATTTCAGTTCTCTGTAGTTCTCTATAGTTGTTAATCATTCTGAATACCATCACTGCTGCACTGGTATACACATGACCTTTGTGATCTATTTAACACATCTCCAACTACCTTCCATAATTTTCCACCTCTGACTTTTAGACTGCCTTCCTTTACTGTTCACTTGCCTTTCTAAAGAGTCTTACTGTCATCCATAACATACACAAACTCCCTTTTGGCAAAATAACATTAATCTACATTTGACAGAAGTCCTTGTCTAGCTCATTAATGCATTCTTACATCCCATCAGAGTCACTGATTTATCTTAATCAGAGATTCTTCAATAATGTTATATTTTAGTGTCCTGTTGTACAAATACACATCATGAACAGAGATTCTTCCCTTTACTTTTCATGTATTTTTTTATGGAAGCCGGTCAGCAAACACAAATCTCTTATGTACAAGGACTGCACATGTGGATATTAATCAAGTAATAAAAAATTCAGCATTGTGTTCACAGTATGGCTGTCACATCCTTTAACAGTGAAATGTAGACACCTGTAACAGTGTTACTTCACCTGTGAATTAAGAATTTGTACGGTGTATGGAAAGGGCTGTCACAGTATATTTTGATATACATCATGTTTGGAGAGTTGGGTGGCACTCATCTCTAGAGCACTCTTAGATTGAGGTCTAATGAATGTAATGGGATGAAGTAGAAATCATCTACACAGAAGAAAACAATGCATAATGTAATGTCTCATATATTTGCATGACTAGAGACTGGGTTTGGATTGCTGAATGGATTTATTGACTGCTTATACACACGATTCATAAGTATGAGTAATTACAGCGCTGTCGCTAATTTACACACTTAAAAATCACTAGAGCACATGCCAAATCTTAGTCCACTGTCTCTAGTTGTTTCCTGGTAATGGATCTTAACAATGGAGATTCTTCAGCTTCTATGCTCATGTTGTTACTGTCTGGCGAATATTCCACAACTGAATTGTCAACTGAATTATGGCACCATCTCTTCTCAGCCTTCTTTGCAGAACTCAACTGAAATGACTGGGTCACCCCAATTGTCTTCATGGTAACTCCTCAGCATGGACCACGTTGAAAGCACTGTTCATTCTCATGTGCTAACTGTTTCTGCGGGAATGTGTTCGCATTACCCAGCAACGAGTTGTATAACCATGTTCATTAAGATTCCGCTGCTCCAACAACGGGTGTTCTTCATGACCATTACCCAGCAACAGGTCTATACGCTACAGTAATATTAGTATGAAGCTATCAGTATCATTCCCCATCATATTTATTGTGTGAAATGTATATTATATGTATAAATCTGTACATCTGTTGGCGTGGATACTGATTGCTCTTTTGATGTCAATAATGGTGATGAGTGATCTTCTAAACAACTTATTGATATTAGTATGTGATTCTTTGTAGATAGAGTAATGTAAGTTTGTTTAGCAGATATGCTCTCATTCTGTAAAGGTGTTATGTCTACAAGGAATGACAGATGTTCATAGACCCTGTATGACTTAAGAAGTGAGACAGTTTGTCAGCTGTTATTCATATATTAGCTTCACCTCTCCAAAATATTTATTTATTTTTCAGTTGTTTTTTTTTTTCTTTTCCAGCTGATATCACTTCTTTTCCATTTGAAGACCTCTTTGAGGTGATGCAAATGTAGTGTTTGCTTTTTGTGTTGGACTTCATTCTTTGTTGCCTAGGATCAAATTGCCATGACTCTCTATAAATGTGTTTTTTTGAGATATAATGATTTTAAACTTAGCAGTTATCAGATACTTTATAGTAATACTTTGTTAACTCGTGTTATGATATTCACAGGTTTCAATATTTGTCTGTTATTTAGTAGCGGTTTTTAATTTAAAAACCCCATTTTGGTCAGTTTAGAAAATATTTTAAAATGTTTTTGTAGATAAGGTTGTCTGTCTCTGTCCTGAGGATCATTTTGAACAATAATACAAGGTCATTCTGGTGTAGCTACGAAAGGTGTTATTGTCATGTTTTATCAGTAATATAATAAACTACCTTATTTCTCCCAAAATTCATTATGTTCTGTAGTGAACAGTTTGTAATGGCACAAAGTATATTAAGGTAATTAGTAATTGATTTATATTTGTAACATTTTTAGTTCAGTTGATATAGTGATGGACGATGTGCTGGATGGCTAGGGTTTGAGTCCTGCCAGGGGCAAGAGAGAGATTTTTCTTTTCTCTACAGTGTCCAGACTGGCTTTAGGGTCCATTCAGTCTCCTATCCAGTGGGTACTGGGGGTTGTTTCTCTGGAGGTGAAGCGGCCAGGGCGTGAAGTTGACCACTCATCTCCATCTAATGCTGAGATGATGAATGGTGGAGCTATACCTCCATTCCTCCAAACGTCTTCCTGTTGTAGTGCTTAATTAATTAGGCACAGGCACAAATTATTTTAATTTACATTTTTCTATTTAGGAAATATGGATATTAAGTGTAGTGTTTGTATGATTTACTGTATTATTTTATTATTTTGGATTTGGGGAGGGAGAGGTGGAAATTGTTGAGTATGTTGATGACAGAAGCCTGAATCTTTGTCACTAACAGGTCACCACATTTTGGAGAGAAGGGTGACTTGGGTGACTCTTGGAACTGATTTATTGTTTCACTATGCCAAGTTTCAGTTTTATGCTATTTATAAGAAAGCATCAGAAGTTAGGATTCATGAACTGAGAATCTAGAGGCAGGAGTGGGGAACATACCAGAATTGTGGTATGTGTACACTTTCTGTCTTTTTGGCCTTACAGAAGTAAGATGTATGTGGTGGCAATAATGAAAAGCCCATTTTTGCAACAGTGTTTTCTGAACCCTTGTTCACAGGACCTCTTAAAACCCCAAAATACAGTAAACTCCTGGTTATATGCTATCCAGGCGCATGGAATTCTCATGCACCTGGTAAAAGTTCTGAACAAAATTTGCCATTTTTATGAAGTTACATTAAATAACAATTTATAATGCACATATGTCTGCCTGCCACATGATAGTTCTCCCAGCCACTACTAGCAGCTCTGCCCATTTTTCCCCTCATGTAGGTGATGATACAGTCATCTGTAACAGTAATCTGTGATTACAGTAGAAGGTAGCTGTATTTGTGATCAAATTACAGTATATCCAAAAACTTCCACCCATCAGAATGCTATATCACCTAACAAGACTCCCATGCAAGAACTAAAGTACAAGGTGCGTCAGAAAGAATGGATGGATTTCAAGCGAACGTTACACAGTGACGGGGTGAGGCGTAGAGTGTGGGGCCAACCGTTGGGTCGGCGGGAGAATGCAGTTTTATTTGGTAACATGGTGAGGTGCACAGCATGCAGTTGTCCTAGAGACATTTTAGAAAAATAGAGAGTCTGTGATCGCCACTCAACAAGCCTTCCACACTCATTTCGAGCTCGGACGTTGCGATAGGATCCCTACTCAGAACACAGTTTTGCGGTGGGTGGCTTCATTTCATGCCACAGGTTCAACCTTAAAGAAGAAATCACCTGGACGGCCACGGAGCACTCATACGCCTGCAAATGTGGAGGCAGTAAGGCAGTCAGTTGTCCAGTCACCTCAGCGATCAGCTCGCAAACCTGCCGCGGCTCTGAGATTATCCGACACTACGGTAAGATGCATTTTGCATTTAGACCTTAAATTTCACCCCTACAAAATGGTAATTGTGCAAGAACTTCATGCAGGAGACTGGGAGAATCATGTTAACAGTTGCCAGTGTATTCTTGTGAGCGTGCCCCCCTACCGCCGTTCTGTTGACCAGTGACGAAGCCCATTTCCACCTATCCGGCTGTGTAAATAAACAGAATTTTCTGTATTGGGCAGGAATGATTCCTAAAGAACTGCATGAGAGACCTCTTCACAGTGAGAGAGTAACTGGGGTGCTGTAGCAGAATTTGGTGTTTGGGAGCCTTACTTTTTTGAAAAAGATGGCCGTGCAGTAACCGTTACAAGTGCTCGTTACGTTGAAATGTTACAAAATTTCCTGTAATCAAGGCTGAACGAGTTTGCTGTTGATGCTGAGGACATTTGGTTTCAACAAGCTAGGGCCTCTGCTCACACTGCGTGACTAACAATGAATATCCTGAGAGGGCTCTTTCTGGGGCACATCGCGGTGACATTCCTTGGCCTGCATGTTCACCTGATCTTGTGCCCTGCGATTTCTTCCTTTGGGGCCATTTGAAGGCGGAAGTTTATAAACATCGACCACATACACTGGATGAGCTGAAGACAGCGATTCGAGAAGAAATCACAGAGAGTGCCTCGACATCTGTATCAGAAGCCAAGGACATCATATGGATGATATTGTATTCTACAAATAAACTGCATGTATTGGCGCATCTGTTGGTAACAATAAAATTTTGATTTGATGAAGCCTTACCAATTTTATTGCCCTGTGAAATCCATCCATTCTTTCTGACGAACCCTGTAAAAACTGATTGTTTTGACTTCAAAATAGAAAGTGGAAGCATGTAAGAGATCAGGAAAGGGTTAAATTACATGAAAATTGGGTTTTTGTAGAAATTTTTCTCATGCAACCAGCAGATTTACGTATCCAGAACATGGCATTTGCCTACATGCTGTATAATGAGTACTTTACAGTATACTGTCAAAATCCCAAATTAAAAGAAAATACAACAAGTATGAAAACGTTTTGGAAGGTCACTTCTTATGTGGAATGCAAAAGAGACACAGAATTTTGCACTTATGATAACGTCTCAAAATTTTGGGAGTAATAGCAGACAATTGCATTTTCATGTTAGGTGCATTCTGTTTCTGTTCTGTTGCAATGTTTCATGAAAATTTCATATAAGCATGTTGTGTCGAATGATGTGAAGTTGCGCAATTCACATTTTGACTTGAGTACTGTTGAGCTAATTGTACTCTCCCTGAAGTGTCATGAAGTTTATTGGACATGAAAGGATGTACATGTTATATTCTGAGAGTATGTGAATGTGTAACACATACAAACAGTTATAAACTATCTCCTGTTATATGTGTGTGTATGAGAGTGTGTACACATAAGTGTGTGCACGAGTTTCACAACATGAAGATATCCAAGGAAGTGGAGCTGTAGCTACACACATTTTTAGTCTCAGCACTTGGTGGTTTTGAGTGGTCAGCTTCACTTCCTGGCTGCTTTACCCCCAGAAAAACAGCCCTTATTATGCATTACATAGGAGGCTAGCTGAGCCCCCAGACCTGATTTTGACATGGCGACAAAGATAGAAGTCTCAGCCTCATCCAGGAATTTAACCCTATAGCCAGTCCCTAGACTGACTGAGATACTTGGGCTGCTTATGAGATCCAAGGGGTGTTGATAATTGCATTTTGTAATAATAAGACTTCACTGTATTTTTCTTTTGTGTAATAACTCATAACTGTTAGACATTACAATGGAGTAAACATTTTGTAAGTATGTACATTTGACTCCAGTGATTTCATCCCTTGAGTGTCTATTCAGTGTGTAGTCTACCATGTGACTATTTCTGATCAGGATTTGTACTGTGCAACAACTAACCTCTGTTTCTGTATTTAATAAGACTCATGTGATGTGGTATTATGTGGAACAATTTTAAACAGGAACTGTGTATTACAGAATGAGAGAGATGTGCTTCTGTCACCCTTCATTTTGATATTGCACTTATTCCTGTTTAAGATGAAATAAAATAGAATGTAGACCTTGGATTATGGAAGACAGTTATTAATAATCTTATATTGTATAGAGGGCTTGTGTATATTCTTTATTCCTTCACACATTTCTGAATAAATTTGGCAGTTATATTAGAGACACTTAAATTTAGCAAGTGTTATATTTATGTGAACATAAATTGATTCTGAAAGCCTGTATCATGAGAAACTTATTTGTAACATATACTGAAATGGTGGTGCAATGTGAGTTCTTCAAAAGTGTTAACCAAATCCCAAGGCAGCTGGATGTTGTGAAAATATCAGCAATTGAGTATGTACATCATACAAGATAACTGTGCAAAATTAAGCAAAAAATTAATAAAAAGGGAAGGAAATATAAAGTAAGAAAAGAATAGTTAACATTTACTGATATAACCTGTTTTTTTTATGCCTTGTGCTTAGGTTCCTGACACAATTTCTTTCAGTGAAAACATCTGTTACAGAGTTACTGAAATTCAGCTGTTTTCTGAGTCTTTTAGAGTTTTATTCTCAGTTGTCAATAATGATAACTTAGTGGACGTTCTTCAGAGCAAGGTAATACTGTATGACAGACACACTGATTGTTGAAATTGTCAATAACAAGGGATTTAATTTTGTGACCTGCGGTAACGCCATTTGCAGATTTCAAGCAATAAAATATTTGAACAGGTCTGAAACATTGCTTTGCAAAAATTTTGCAGTCAATGAATAACAGAAAATTCAAAATACTGCCCGTGTGACATTTTTCAGCAGTAGTTGGAAGCATTTCACAGTAGTGTTTAAAGTTTTCAAGTTCTGAAAGTGAAAAACACCTTAGTTTAAGAATTTTCGAGAATTGGTTGATGAACTGTCGTTTCATAATGTTTGTTACACAGTACAGCCAGTGATAAGATGAGCATACAAGCAGTTGCAGTGTATTAAGGTTCCTTGTTTGACTAACACATTAGCTTGGAATGTCATACACTCCCACTTCCCCTCATGCCTCTGCTATGTTGTGTTTCTTCTTCTTGTGCCATTGCTCACATATGGCTTGGATAGTGCTGAAGGAAATGGCTAATAATGCCTGTGATGGCCTGGCTAAAGGTGGCAGAAATCTGTTATGTGATCACTTCTGCCAGTATCTGGAGATACAGAGCACCACTGAATCAGAAAAATAATACTTTTTATTTTATTTTTCAAAATGTTAGGGTGGCTGTCATGGTTAACTGGAACACTCTGCCATTGTAAGGAAAACTTGTCCCTGTGCTTAACTAAGCATTACACCATGAAGGCGTATGGGGAAGTGGATGTGTAGATTCACATTTTCTTGACCTTGGAAGTAACTGGAGGTGAGTGGTCAGCTTCCTGCCCTGGCCGCTTTACCCTTGGGGAAAGAGCCCCCTGTACCAATTGGATAGGAAGCTGGGTGGGCCCCAGAGCCCTTCTGGATGATGTGGAGAAGAGAAAGTTCATGACCCTACCAGGACTCGAATTCTAACCCCTTGGTCATCCAGCCCATAGCCAGTCCTATACCGACTATGCTATCCTGGCTCCCACTCTGCCATTGTACTGAAATTATTACATGTTTTGCAGTA